ATTACCCCATGAAAATTATAAAGTTTTATGTAGTCATTAAAAAATTGCATTCATTAGACACAAACCAATGTTGTGACTAAACTTGCGGTTCCATTAAAGCTCCCCAGAGATATTTTGTTTGTGGACTTGACTTGTGTGCCAACCAGCCCCGCGTGACCTTGTTTTCAATTTAACTGCCAACTATAAACAAATAATTTTTAATGAAAAATAAGGGTGCCAACTGTAAACAAATAATTTTTAATGAAAAATAAGGGTCCCGCCCAGCTGCTTCTTCGTTCCCAAGCCATCTTCTAAGTTTCTTCAAATTACTCAAACAATGCTATGATGATTATTTCTCAAGCATATGTTTCCCTCTCGTTCTTTCTTAATTATTCATATTCCTAATTTCTCTCCTATTTAAAATGATGGGAGAGCATTTACTATATGGGATTTACTCTTCCCATCTTTTGTATTACTTTGTGTTGGAGAATTTGACAACCGAGAGGACTGACCTCACCGAACCGAAATAATTTGGTTCAATTCAAGTCTTGGGTCAATTTCGGTTCGGTTTACTTGAAATTCTTGAAATTAATGGAAACCGACTGAACTGATTGTTTGCTCTCCCTTGGTTAAAACCAAAATTTGATGTTTATATAATAGATTAGATTTGTTAATTGACAAATAAATAATTACAAAAATTGTGGGTTATAACCCATAAAAACTGCTATATATGTATATATAAATACATACATATATGTATATATACATACATATATACGTATATATATCTGTATACATAAATATATGTATACACATATATATGTATATGTACCTATATGTACATATGTATATGTATGTATATAAATATACATATGTATATACATCCATATATGTACATATACACGTATACATATACATATATGTATGTACATCCATATACATATACATATCCATATACATATATGTATATACATATACATATCCATATACATATATTTATGTATATACATATGTATATACATCCATATACATACATATATACGTATATATATCTGTATACATAAATATATGTATACATAAATATATGTATATACATATATATGTATATGTACCTATATGTACATATGTATATGTATGTATATAAATATACATACATATGTATATACATCCATATATGTACATATACATGTATACATATACATATATGTACATATACATACATATATATGTATATATACACACACATAAGTGTAAGTAAATGTGTATATGTGTGCGTGTGAATGTGTGTGTGTGTGTGTATATACACGCACACACACACACACACACACATACATACCTATAGGTACATACATATATGTATATGTACATGTATGTATATATGAATATATACATATATACATATGTATATCTATGTATATACATATATGTATGTACTTATATATATATATATATATGAGCAATATGGGTATGCTTGGTACCAAGCACAAAAAGTTGTGCTTGGTAGTGATGTGTCACATCCCCCTCCACTCATTCAAATATGGGACAACATTCACATGGGTATTGAGTGGATGAGGATGTGACACATCACTACCAAGCACAAAATTTGTGCTTGGTACCAAGCATACCCATTTTTCTCTATATATATATACACATATGTGTATGTATACATACACTTACATATATGTATGTGTATATAACTATATATATACATACACATATGTGTATGTATACATACACATACATACATACATTTACATATATGTATGTGTATATACATAAATATATGTACACACACAGATATATATGTGTATGTATACATACACTTACATATATGTATGTGTACACACACACACATAGATTCCTTCGAAATGAACCAAAATTGACAACAATCATAATTAACTCATGGAAATCGTAAATTTCAATTATAGAATAAATTGACATTCATTCTAAACTAATGAAAATGGGCAAAATAGTGGGTTATAGCTTACAAAAATTATGATTTTTAATATATATAAGATAAATTTACATTCATTAAAAGTGAACCAAAATATACGAAAATGGTAGGTTTTCTTGCATGAAAATCGTGAATTTTTACATTCACATAATAAATTTAGAATGATGTGTAACATAAAATTGACAAAACTCATGAGTTTTAGTTTATGAAAATTGCAAACATTGATATTCACATAAAAAATTTAGATTCAATCATATGAATTAAAATTGTCAAAAATTATGGGCTATAGCTCGTAAAAATTGCAAATTGACATTCACATATTATATTCAGGGTTTTTTGAAATAAAGTAAAATTGACAGAAAATCGTGAATTTTGGTAATTCCATATAAATATACATACATTCGAGACAAACTAAGATTGACAAAAATCCTTGGTTATAGCAAAGGAAAAATCAAAAATTTTGATGTACATGTAATAAATTAAATTTCATTCAAAATGAACAAAAACTAACGAAAATCGTAAGTTATAGCTGATAAAAATCACAACTTTTGATGTACAAATTTATATTCATTTGAAATGAACAGAAATTAGCAAAAACCATGGGTTATTAGCTCATGGAAGTCAAAATTTTTTATGTACACAATAAATTTACGTTTATTTTGAAACGAACAAAATTGGCAAAAATCGTGGGTTATAGCCCTCCAAACCAAAAATTACAATTTTTGATGTATAAAAAATGACTTTAGATGTACATTCATTCGAAACGAACCAAAATTGACTAAATTTGTGGGTTAATGCTCACGAAAATCACGAATTTTAATGTACAAACAAATAATTTACATTCATTCCAAATGAATGAGACTAACAAATTTGTCGGTTGTAGCCCATGTAAATCACGATTTTTATATACACATAATAAATTTAGATTTGTTCAAAACAAACTAAAATTGATAAAAACTGTTGATTATAGCTCATTAAAATTGTGATTTTTGACGTGTACATAATCAATTTAAATTTGTTCGAAACGAACCAAAATTGAAAAATCATGGGGTACAGCTCATAAAAATCGCAAATTTTGACATTTACATACTAAATTTAGAGTCTTTCTAAAAAGAAGCGAATTGACAAAAAATGGTAGGTCACAGCACATGCAAATTGTCAATTTTGAATTTTAGTAATAAATTTAGATTTGTTAGGAATGAATTAAAATTGGAAAAAATTATGGGTTTTAACTCATGAAAATCGCAAATTTCGATGTAGTCATAATAAATTTACATTCGTTTTAAATGAATAAAAATTGGCAAAATTTTTGTTTTATAGTCTATGAAAAATATGATTTTTAATTTGCACATAAGAAATTTAGATTCTTTGGAAATAAACCAATATTGATTAAAATCGTGGATTATATCTCATGAATATTACAAATTCCAACCTACACATAATAAATGTACATTCATTCAAAACGAACAAAAATTAGCAATAATTGTTGGCTATAGCTCATGAAAATTGTAAATTTGCAATGTCTACATAATAAATTTACATTCATTCAAAACAAGGTTTTAAATATCGGATATCGGGGAAATATCGGATGGCCAAAATTCATATCGGATTACGGATATCGGAGAAATATCGGGGATATGTGGTAAATATCGGAATGCCATAATGAATGTTAGCATACATAGTATAATGCATTAAAATGTAATCTCGACATATGTAATAAAATTTAAGCATACAAAATATGAATAATATATGTTTAGGATCACTAATCAACTTTCTAAAACAAACAAAAGTGCAAAGCAACGTTGCAACATTCGATCTGTTTTTTAGAGGGCAAAATGTCATTTGATATAATGGGGAAATCTTGATATCTCGCCCAAAAATTCCAAACACGATATATTATTTTGCAACAAGCTATATAAAAAGATATATTGGTCCACATATCGGCTAATATATCGGCCATATCAGGGATTTATCACTCAAAATAGCCAAAAAGCGGTAAAAGATATTTAAAGACCATATCAGTTGCGGCAAGTCCTGTAAAAGGATATATCGGGGGATATATCGGGCCATGTCGGGGATATTTAAAACAATGATTCAAAATAAAGAATAATTGGCATAAATCGTGGATTATAACATTAAAAAATTCCCAAAAATTATGGTTATAGCGCATGAAAATCGCGATTTTTGATGTTCCATAATAAATTTAGATTCTTTTGAAATGAACTAGAATTGAGCAAAATCGTGGGTTATAACTCGTAAAAATCGTAAAGTTTAATTTGCACATAATAAATATACATTCATTCAAAACAGACAAAAATTGGCTAAAATCATGGGTTACATCCCACAAAAATTGCATTTTTTTATGTACACAAGATAAATTTACATTCCTTTGAAATGATTTGATATTGACAAAAATCATATGTTTTACCGCATGAAAATAGTGAATTTTTACGTTCGCATAATAAGTTTAGAATCATTTGAAACATATTAAAATTTAAAAAAATTTGGGTTATAGTGTATGAAAATCGTAAATTCTAATACTCACATAATAAATTTTGATTTGAAATGAACCAAAATTGAAAAAAATCGTGGTCTACATTATCCTATGAAAATTATAAATTTTTATGTAGTCATCAAAAATTTGTATTCATTTCAAACAAATCAAAATTGACAAAAATCATGGGATATAGCTTATATAAATTGTAAAAATTCTAATGTATTCATAATAGATTTACATTTGTTGGAAACTAACCAAAAGCGAAAAAAATTATAGGTCAAAGCTCATGAAAATCGCAAATTTTGATGTATAAACAAATAATTTACATTTGTTCTAAATGAACAAAAAATAACATAAATCATGCGTTATAGCCCATGAAATTTGCAATTTTCAATGTACACATTAAATTTAGATTTGTTCGAGTTAAATCAGAATTGACGAAACTTGTGGGTTATAGCTTATGAAAATCACAAATTTTGTCATTCCCATATTAAATTGAGTCTTTCGACAAGAAGTAAAAATTGACAAAAATCCTGGATTATAGCTAACAGTCTCTCTTTTCTTCTACAGGCTATGGCAGAGGCTGCACATCCTGCATGCATTTTAGAGACGAGAAAGACAGCTCCAGGTCTACGTTTGGTGGACAAGTGGGCGGTATTTATCGTTTCTCATTATTTTGTACTTTCTTTTGTTTCTAGTAGTCACTAGAACTGTCTTCCCTGACAGGTACTAATTGGCGGTGGAAAGAATCATAGGATGGGTTTGTTTGATATGGTCATGATAAAAGACAATCATATCTCAATTGCTGGAGGTGTCACAAATGCTATCAAATCAGTAGACCAATATTTGGAGGAAAAGGGCCTTCATATGGCTGTCGAGGTATAGTCGCCTAATTTAATTAACATGCATATTTTGACCATGGGTTGTAATATTTACCGGTTAATTTTTATTTAGGTCATGAAAAGAGCTCAAGAATTCTTCAATTAGTTGTCAGATTGCTTTAATCTTTTACTACATACAAACTATGATATCAAACCATGATAGGTAATGATTCTAATAAACTCACATTAATTGATCTTAGATTCTACAATTATACTCGAATGCTTACTTTTATAACATCCAAGTTACACCATGAACCTATACCCATACCCGACACGTTAGGGAACCGTTCACCATACTTCTTAGACACTCATTAAATATATGAATACATTTATTCAGACGCGTGTTTAATTATGCAATACATACTTTAATTTAAAACACTCTGTCATACACTTCTTGAACATATATTATGCATTTCACATCCACTTCTGAAGCTTGTCGGACAAGCGTCGGATTTGTTTCAACCCATATTTAATTTAACAACTACTGCTTGTTCTTTGTGTATCTAACTCAGAACTATGATTTCTGCTCGTGTTTCAGCAGTGTCCCATTTCCCTAGCATTTACAAATTCGTTGTGTCCGGTACCCTCACCGGCCCCCGCATCCGCACCCATACCTGTATCCATGCAACTTAGCAAGAAATATGTCTGAAGTAAATATTAAGCACTCAACTTTCTGGTTACTAGTTAAGTATTACCTATTACTCTTCATTACCTTAATTTTCTTTTTTCTTTTTCTTGTTACCACTCAAGTATAATATCCATTGCTTATCTTCTCTGGTTTTCCTTTTTCCCCCTCTTTTCTTTTCTTTTCCCTTTTTTCCCTTCATTGTACTTCTTTTTTTTTTAGTTCGTTTCAGTATGTACCTTTCAGCAATGCTGTTCAATTGCTTATAATTTATTTGATTTCCTTTTACAGGTTGAGACAAGGACGTTAGAAGAAGTGATGGAAGTCTTGCAATACGCTATTCAGAATAACACTTCTTTGACCAGAATAATGTTGGACAATATGGTTGTACCTCTGCCCAATGGGGATGTGGATATTTCCATGCTAAAGGAAGCAGTTGACTTGATAAATGGTAGATTTGAGACTGAGGTATTGGGTTTTTCTTATTTATGTTGCTTTTCTTTTGGAGTTTCATCAGTCAAACATCACACATGGTGCCGTTAAAACTGGTGATTGATACTTTCCTGTTCATATTCATTAACGTCTAATGTTTGTATACACCTTGGCAAGCTGTGCACATTATCTTTTTGAGATCAGAAGTGTTCAAGTTTTTTCCTTTGATATGTTGAAGCAAGAGATGCTTATTTTACCTAAAATTTTCAATTCCAATAAAATTTTTAATCTCTCGAATTCAATATAAGTTAGATATAGCACAGGATTAATTATATACCTTGATATATCATTGTGACATTTTTCAATCAATCACCTGCAAATATGACATATTGTTGACATCGAATACAGAAGAAATGTTAGGAATTCATTCCGATGTTCCTCCTTTTGACTTTTCATCAGTTAAGATCTGGTTGCTTGAAGATGCAGCCAGTGTGAAAATAAGCTTAGATCAAAATTACAAAAAACAGCCAGTAATCTGATATTAGTTTGAAACTTGAATCACATACCAAACAGTTTATTATGTGATAGTAACGACCCTGCCAGTTTTGTTTTCCTTGCTGCGTTTTAAATTCGCTTCCATGTAAAGCAATTTACTAACAAAGTCCATAGTGACAGGCATCTGGAAATGTTACTCTTGAAACAGTGAAAAAGATTGGCAAAGCTGGAGTAACCTACATATCCAGGTAACTGTGAATTTCCTACATATTTCCATTTTTTGTTACAAATTTAAATTCTGAATTGCACATTTTTCTTGTAAATATCTTAGCTGTGAAATATAATCATATTCATATCTTTCCCAAATGAGTAGTAGAAAATGAAAGGTTATAATTTGTTTTCAACATGATATCCTGGATAACTTCATGCATGAAACTAAAGGGATATTGGATGTAAAAAACTTTTCATTTTGATTTTGGGTGGTTACGAAAAAAAGAAACTGACTGGAGGCTTTCACTTGTGATTCACGTATGTATAGGAAAGAAGTCCTATGGCTATGATGAGCCTACACTATTATATACTGTGAAATTTAAGAGATAAAAACCTGAATTCCTCATTCCTCCCTTGAAACAGAATTACAAGGGCTATTTATAAGCTAATACAACTAAACCAACAAAATAGAAAATCCTGATTTCTATCCCATGGAATCAGGAACAGAAAAAAAACAAACTGCTGATTTCCATCCCCTGAAATCAGGAACAGAAAAACAACTGCTAAGAAATCAAATCAGGATCTCTTTTATTCAAAAAACTATCTAAAAAATAGGAAGTTAATTATTCCCTAACTTTGAGCATATTTTCAACACTCCCCCTCAAGATGGGTTGTATATGTTATATAGACCCAACTTGCAACTTAGCTCCTCAAAGTTAGTCCTGGGTAATGCTTTGGTGAGAATATCTGATGTCTGCTGTCGAGTTGGAACGTAGTTCAATTTCACTACTGCATTGGTGATCTTCTCTGATATGAAGTGTCGATCAATTTCGATATGTTTGGTTCGGTCATGATGTACCGGGTTCTTTGCAATACTGATTGTAGCCTGGTTGTCACACATTATCTGAATTGATGAAGTACAACTTACTCTAAGCTCAGCAAGTAACCTTTTTATCCAAATTCCCTCACAGATTCCAAGAGCTAATGCTCTAAACTCTGCCTCAGCACTGCTTCTAGAAACCACTGACTGTTTCTTGCTTCTCCATGTCACTAAGTTCCCCCAAACGTATGAGCAGTACCCTGATGTTGACCTTCTGTCAGTAATATCTCCAGCCCAATCATCATCTGAAAAGACTTCAATGTCTCGATTATCTGATTTCTTGAATAAAAGACCTCTTCCAGGTGTCATTTTTAGAAAAATCAGAATTCTATATACTGCATTCATGTGTTCCTCTGTTGGATTGTGCATGAATTGGCTGACAACACTAACTGAAAAACCAATATCAGGCCGGGTATGAGAGAGATAGATGAGACGTCCCACAAGTCTTTGATATCTCCCCCTATCGACAGGTGCACTGTTTTTCTCTGACCCAATTTTCTTGTAAGGATCCATTGGAGTATCTGCTGGTTTACATCCAAGCATACCAGTTTCCTTCAGCAAATCCAGAGTGTATTTCCTCTGAGACACAATAATCCCTTTCCGAGATCTTGCTACTTCCATTCCAAGGAAGTATCTGAGGTCACCTAGATCCTTGATTTCAAATTCTCTTGCAAGGTGATCCTTCAACTTTTGTAGCTCCTCTTCGTCATCTCCAGTAAGAATGATATCGTCAACATAAACTATCAGGATAGCAGAATTCTTAGCTGGAGATGTTTTTATAAATAGAGTATGATCTGCTTGACATTGAGTGTATCCATATCTCATAACTGACTTTGCAAACCTGTCAAACCAAGCACGAGGAGATTGTTTGAGGCCGTACAAAGATTTTTTAAGTTTGCAGACTTTGTTGTCAGTTAGAGAATTGCCTAGGCCCGGTGGAACTTCCATATATACTTCCTCTTCGAGATCTCCATTTAAGAAGGCATTTTTTATATCCAGTTGATGCAAGGTCCAGTCCTGATTTGCTGCAAGTGATAGTAGAATTCTAATGGAATTGAGCTTTGCAACTGGTGCAAAAGTTTCTTGGTAGTCAATTCCATAGGACTGCGTGAATTCTTTAGCCACCAGTCGAGCTTTCAACCTTTCAACACTTCCATCTGCCTTATACTTGGTAGTGAATATCCATTTGCATCCAACTGGTTTCTTTCCAGGTGGGAGATCTGTCAGAACCCATGTATCGTTCTTTTCAAGTGCATCTATTTCTTCCTTAACAGCCTTTTTCCACCCAGTATGTTTGAGAGCCTCATGAATAGTAGTAGGCACCTGTATACTATCAAGTGAAGAAGCAAACACACGATATGGTGCAGACAATCCTTCATATGAAACATAATTAGCAATTGGATGACTGGTGCAAGTCCTGACACCCTTCCTCAAGGCAATTGGCATATCAGAATTATCAATAGTAGGTTTCACAACTTCACCTGAACCAGGACCTTCCTTTCCAGATTCACCAGAACCAGAACCTTCCTTACCTGCGCTAATTTCAGACGGACTTGGATTCACTTCAGAATGTTGATTTAGTGGATGTGTTTTATGCTCTATCTCTTCTCCAGTTTTCTTCCTTCTAGTATAGACATGAAGGTTCTTAACTGCAAGTTGTGGAAATGTTGATTTTGGTGAAGGTGGAGATTGACTTTCAGTTGAAGGAAGGATGACAATAGGTGACGGATTTTCGAATGGTATGGATTCTTGAAATTGAGGTGAGTGAGTTGGTGGATTAGTAGTTTCCAACAAGTCCCAAAACTGATGTTCACTCAATTTCTCCCCCTGGATATCAGGTTTGGTGTAGTATGGTGTGTTCTCAAAGAATGTTACATCCATGGTGTTATACATCCGTCTTGTCATTGGTGAATAGCATTTATACCCCTTTTGGCTTGGAGAATACCCTAGGAATATACATTTGTGAGACCTTGGGTCTAGTTTGCTGCGGTGTTGGGGGTAAATATGGACAAATGCAGTACACCCAAAGATTTTTGGAGGTAGATTAGAATGAAGGATTTTGGTGTGTGGGAAAGACTGATGAAAGACTTGATAAGGAGATTGGAACTTTAAGACACGCGAAGACATTCTGTTTATTAGGTAAGTGGCGGTTAAGACAGCTTCCCCCCAATATCTTTGGCACATTTGATGAAAACATGAGACACCGAGCAACTTCAAGAAGATGCCTGTTCTTTCGTTCAGCAACTCCATTTTGTTGTGGAGTGTCAACGCAAGAACTGATATGGACAATTCCTTGACTCAAAAAGTAAGTTCCCAAGGTATTTGTAAAGTATTCTTTTGCATTATCAGTTTTGAAGGCTTGGATTTTTTTCTGGAACTGAGTTTGTATCATCATGTGAAAATTTTGGAAAATGTGACCAACTTCTGATTTTTCTTTCATGAGAAAGACCCAAGTAAGACGTGTGTGATCATCAATGAAGGATACAAACCAACGACCACCTGAGATGCTGTTAATTCGAGAGGGACCCCAAACATCACTGTGAATTAATGAGAATGGACTGGATGGTGTATATGTGAGACGAGAATAAATAGTACGAGTGTGTTTAGCAAGTTGGCAGATTTCACAATGTAAGGAACTCATATTTTTATTAATGAATAAATCTGGAAACAACTTTGCAAGGTACATGAAATTGGGATGTCCTAGACGATAGTGTAACAACATAATGTCACTATCCTTATTGACTCTAGATTTTGAAACAGAATTAAACTGACTTGAGAATGGACCCTTGGACTGAACATAACTTGCCCTTGAACCTTGTCTTGTTGAAGGAAGATTGCCTTTGAGAAGATAGAGCCCAGAACACAATTCAGCACTGCCAATCATCTTCCCGGATTCCAAGTCCTGAAATTCACACAGATAAGGAAAAAATTTAGTTACACAATTGAGATCTTGGGTTAATTTACTAATTGACAGTAAATTACAATCCAAATTAGGCACATGGAGAACAGAGGAGAGAAACAATTCATTCGTGAGTTTAATGAAACATGTTCCTGCCACTTTAGAGTGGGACCCATCAGCAATTCGAACCGTGGAGTTATCAGTGCATGGTTTATACTCATCAAACAAAGTGGCATCTCCTGTATCAGCAATTCGAACCGTGGAGTTATCAGTGCATGGTTTATACTCATCAAACAAAGTGGCATCTCCTGTCATGTGGTCCGAAGCTCCTGTATCAACTATCCATGATCTGGATATTCCACTGTTTACAGTAAAGGCCGTAGGAGATTGTTTCTGTGCCACTAAGCATGTACCTGGTGTAGAAGAGTTAATAGTTGCCTGGTTAAATAATCTCTGAAGGAGTTCCATCTGTTCCTTGCTAAATGGACTAGTTTCGGCTGCTGGGCTGTCTTCTGTGGTGGCAGCAACGTGGGCACGACTTTCTTTATCATTAGATCGAAAGGATGGTTTCCAATCAGCTGGCTTTCCATGAAGTTTCCAACACTTTTCTTTGAAATGTCCTGGTCTTCGACAATGTTCACACCATGGTCTCTCCTTTTTTTGTCGATTGTCATAATTTCCTGCTATGTTGGATCCACGGGCTGCAAGAGCTGAAGCTTCCAGGGTTGTTGCAGTGGTGTCAGTTGAACCCATCATCACTTTCTTGCGGCTCTCTTCACGTCTGACTTCAGAGAAGGCTTCCCGAAGGCTAGGTAGAGGTGTTGTGCCCATTACACAACCTCTGACCTCATCTAGGTTTTTATTAAGACCTAGAAGAAATTTGAAAGTTCGTTTTTGTTCTAAAATTTTCCTGTATAAAGCAGCATCCTCAGTACACTTCCAGAGATGAATTTCAAACAAGTCTAGGTGCTGCCAATGACGGATCAAAGTATTAAAATATTGGGTAACTGAAAGTTCTCCTTGGCGAAAGTCATGGAGAATAGCTTCAACTTGAAACAACTCAGAGGTGTTTTCTGAGCTGGAATAGGTTTCCCGAGCAGCATCCCAAATTTCCTTTGCGGTTCCATACAAAAGAAAATTTTCTCCGATCTCATTCATCATAGAATTGATGAGCCATGACATCACCATATGATTTTCGGTCTTCCACTTCCTGAATTTGGGATCTGTTTTATCTGACATCACAGCTTCACCAGTAAGATAATCATCTTTGTCCTTCCCGCATATGAACATCATAACTGATTGCGACCACTGTAGAAAATTGTGGCCATTCAGCCTGTGACTCGTGATCAGGGCAGAAGATGTGTCGAATCCACCGTTATTTAGAACACCAGAATTTCCTTCCATCGGAGAGGTCGCGTCAGACGAAGAGGCGTGAGAGGTCTGAGATGCCATTCCGTACTTGGGCATGATGGACACGACCAGAGATGAAATGAGGAGGATAGAATTTGGTGGAGAGAAGAATTGGCGGCTGTGATAGCTGAGAGAATTAGGGTTCAGGCCTGATGGTGTAGCGGCTGTGATAGCTCTGATACCAAGTGAAATTTAAGAGATAAAAACCTGAATTCCTCATTCCTCCCTTGAAACAGAATTACAAGGGCTATTTATAAGCTATATTAGGAAGAGTGACTGTATGGTTGCATGGATTGAAATGCACGAGGGTTAGAAGGAAACTAATTGCATGTCTCAGTGTCATTATATACCAAAAAAAAGGGTAGCCCAGTACACGAGACTAATTGCATGTCTCAGTGTCATTATATACCATTGTGGGCTCTAGGGAGGGTCAAATGTACACAGCCTTACCCCTACATGCGAAGAGGCTGTTTCTAGGATTTGAACCCATGGCCTCCAGGGCACAAGGAAACAACCTTACCGTTGCGCCAAGGCTCACCCTCAGTGTCATTATATACCAATGACACTTATAAATATAAAAAGAAGCACATGGTTTTTCATCATGTATCTGACATAAACTGGGATTCATCACAACTTTGCTAACAATTAAGAGTATGTGTGTACTCAGCACTACCAAAGTTGTGATGCATATACTAGTTTAACGTACATTTCCAGTGTTATCTGAATACATGTGCTGGTTTTGCATTATAGTCATTATATGAACATGATAATTTCTTTAACAATTTACAAAAAAAATTGGCTTTGTTGACGGTGTATTTAGTAGTTATGTAACATAAAAAGTCAAAACATTTGTCAGTTATTTTCTAATCTCTCTGCTAGAGTTCAGGTCTAATCAACCGCCACAGGTTGCTTTCCCCTTCCTCCTATAAGAACATGGTCTGCGATAACTATATCTAAGATTTCAAATCTCTTATTGAACTGTTATATGTAAAACTAAATCATATTACATATGATTGACTTCAACAATATATTATCCAAGTCACTTATTTTCTCTTACATCTGTTCCTTTTCTGAATCGTTGAGGTAAACATTTTAGCTTCATAGACTAGTGTCAAGCCAGGTTGAGCCTCCTTGCTGATATTCTTTATAACTACCCAATCGACCCAACAAAAAAGGATTTGACCTGTTCTTATATAACTGCTCATTACTAAATTCAAGACTGCTTTGGTTGAAAGGATTCTGACTATTTTATCATCTTGGTTGGTATTTATTTTTGTGCAGTGGGGCATTGACACATTCTGTGAAAGCGCTTGATATCTCCCTGAAGATTGATACTGAACTGGCCCTTCAAGTTGGCAAGCGTACGAATCGAGCATAATAGTGAGCAGCATCCATGATGCAGCTCAATTTTCAGATTTTACTGGCCATCAGAATCTTATTAAAAGAGAAACTCATAGTTACATACTTTTACATTATTAGAGTATCAAGTATAGTTTAATTTAATTTACTTTATTTCCCCCCATATGTTGTAATCTATAAGGTGTCTGCGAGAAAAATGAATATAAGCCCTTTCAGGAATTTATAAATAATTATTACATATGTATTATTAATGCCACAGGCGCGGATGAATGGATGCCTAAGGGTACTCATCTGAAAATAATTTACAGGAAATTGGAAAAATTGAAAGCCGAGATATCTGCATAAGATAATCTCTCTTATTTCTTGCATGTCAAAATTCTCTCTTGCAACAGATATTCTAATTAGTCTTGAAACTGTAACTGATTTTAGTTTTTGACTTCTTTTGTAAAGTATCGCATATTCACAGGTGCAAAATGATAATTATCTATGATGTGACTATGTACTGAAAGCTTCATCATTTACCTCTTCCTGTATTACTCCCGAGTGATTAGAAGGGAATGGAATTTTTGGTAGCTCAGTAGGCATCCGATCTTTTATTTTGGGGCCTGTTGGCTTATAAAAAAGTGTGACCATAACTGACAATTTTAACTTGCAAAATTAGTTGCAGATATAGTTCAATCCATTTGTTTTCATATAGTTGATGTTTCTTGTGATTAAGAAAGGAGTCCTTTTATGTAAAAATGACTTGCATGGAGTCCATAACAACTTTTCTTCTCTTTTTTATTAATACAAATTGGATTATTTTTAGGAGCACAGTTGCGAACTTATTATAATCATAATGAAAGTAGAAGTTGCAACTGAACCTGCAGTTACAATTTGTAGTTTTTACGAACCAAACAGATGGAAAACATTACAGGCATACCCCTAACCACACCTTGGGGCACACCCCCTCTCTTAGCTATAATGTACGGGGTTTATTTTAGATTTTTTTAAAAATCTAAAGTGGGCCCTGTGCACTTTAGCTGAGAGGGGGGTGTCCCAAGGTGTGGTTAGGGATGTGCCTGTAGTGCCACTCCAAACAGATATCATGTTTGTTCACAAACATTGTGCTTCTATACGTGGCCCTGTAGATAGTACTATATTCAATATAGTGCCGGCCCTTAGTGCCCGAGATTTCTCAATACATTAACTAAATGAGATAATTAACAAGTCCGTCTCTTTAAAATTTTGGCTACTGAAGTACTGATACATGAGTAACAAGAAGATACTAATTTCGCAGGATGACTGTTCTCCACATTCTCGTCTCTCATTCCAAAAAGGGGTTTTCAGATATTAGCACCTTACATTGAAGGTAATTTTCTATTAGCCCTTTATATCTCCATATTTTGATATTAGTCCCCTCAAGTTGCTACTATATGTTAATATGAGGGGCTCATATCAAACACATCATGGCTATTTGAGGGGCTAATATCAAAATATGAACCTAACCATAGGGGCTCATATCAACATACCATAGCTATTTGAGGGGCTAGTGTCAAAACATGAAAATGTAAGGGGCTAACACAAATTACTTATATTAAGGGGCTAATATCTAAAAAAGCCCTTTTAAAAACTAGAGTTAATTGTGAATAGACCCACTCGGTTACAAAAAGACTCCCTATAGTTCTATTTGTTACGAATAGAACCCTTGCAGTAATCTCTCTCTCAAATTCGTTAAAAGGATTCGAGGTAGACAGACCTCATATAGTTCTATTGGTAAGAATAGACATATGATTGCTATTTTTTTAAAAGAGTTAAAAAAGTTCACTAAGGGTGGTATTTGCAGTATTCGCTATGGAGCCAATAATGTAGGGAGTATATTTGCAACAAATAGAACTCCCTGGGGTCTGTTCACAAATAGCATTACAGGGATTCTATTCGCAATTACCCCTAAAACCAAGCTTCTAAACTTTCTCTGCAGTAATAGTAGCCAAAATTAATCCAACACCATTCTACTTTTCTGGTGAACACCTTGAGTGTTAATTGAAAGAACGACTCGCCGATGAAATTACATATTAACATGCAACTACGAACAGTCATTTAACGCAGCATCATGGAAAACTACACGTTCATATAATTATAAGAATTGCTTGCTCCCCCTGATGCCGATAGTTTTACATCAAAAGGCTTTCTTTTATTTCCTTATTAAGGATGCATTAAACATTGGTTTTACTTTTACATCTACATACACTTTTGACATCATAACGCCCAGAATGGCTTTCCTGATTTAAGTTAATAAATAACAGAAAATAAGAATAAATATCACTAATCTTATTAGTTCCACTAATACACACCTCCGTCAAAAAAAACAACTCCTCATGCTCGTGAAAAACCGCCACCTCATTGAGCAGTTAATTTATCACACAATGACTTGTATGCTGCGCTACAATGCTTGAATTTTTCCTCGGCCACTGTCTGTTCATGCCAAAAGAAAAATGAAAATAAAGTTACACATTTCGTTCTCCAAATTTTGTAAGATAAATACTACAGGGCTTCCGCGTAAAACTAATTCTGGATCAAATAATAATAATGTAGATCCCAGAACTAAATAAATGATATCTATGAGTTACCTTCGATGAACCCTGGTGGCGATCAGGATGCCATCTTAGAGCACAGGCTCGATACCTGGAGGAAAAAAAATGTAACAAAGAAAAATGACTTGTCACCTCGATATACAACCATGTCAAATGTTAAATTGCCACACTATATAATTAATTCAGTCTCAACATACATCTGAGGAAAGCAGATGTCAAATAACCTACATGCTCGAACCAGACGCCTCAAAATTGAAGAACATCAAAAAGTGGGTCTAAAAAATCCGACTCCCTCAGTAATGCAGTATTTTCACCAAGGCACCTTTGAATAAAACAAAGGCCAGGAACAGATAGTAAACAATAAATCGGCAAGCAAATATGATTATCTTCCCTGTTCCTTCACTATAGGCTAATCATATTTCCCAGGTATCCATACGTGCATACCTCTTCATAGTTCATACATGCTATTTTCACATTATTACTTGTTACCCTTCAAAACACACAAAGTGTGCTCAAAATATTGAAAAGCAATCAAATAATTGGCGCAAAAAGGATTAGAACTTACGCATTTTTTACTTCTTCGAGTTTTATTGGACCGTAACTTTTCAACCCAAGTGCTAACCGTTCTGAAGTTAAATCTGATTTTGGGGGGCTATCGACTTCATCATCTGTTTCATCTCTCCAATTCCAAGAGCTCGTACGGTTAGTTTGGCCAGAACGGTTCCTCCAGTGGAAATTGTCTGAGGTTTCAAAAGACCAGTAATAGAAGCCGCCCCCTCCAAAGGCTGACCTGAATATGGTTTCAGCATCATCATCATCATCATCTTCTTCTTCTTCTTCTTCGTTTGCACAGAAGTTGAAACCTCCTTTCCCTGAATGAATTAAATAGCAAACATATAGTTTAATGAAAACTTGAATAATAGAGGAATCCACTCACATCAAAATGCTTATCCCTTCAGTTTAAGGGTATAGTTTACTTAATAATTGTTGATATACGTGGTAACGTAACACCATGCTTCAAGAGGTCTAGTGTTTCAGACATAAACAAATTCAGTTCAGAGTTGTACTTAATTTGTAGTACACAAAAGAAGGACTTATGGTACGATTGGATAAGATAATTTGCTTTGGTTTTTTCAATTTCAACAAAAAAAGGGGAAATCCTCGAGACTAATGAAAGAAAATGAAGATTTTAACCTTAGTCAAAAATTCTTTTCTACCCTCCTATCCTGATTGAGGTGTGTGTTTGAAAAGAGAAGGGTTCATGGGGCATGAAGTGTACATTTCAGTGTTGAGGCGTATGCTTCTAGGGACAAATCGTTTTCCTTTTGCACATCGAAGAAATTATCCTTCAAAATTATAGATAAGACAGCCTCAAAGTGCGCTTCAAAATGGTTTATCAAACATTGAATAGTATGTCACTAAGTATTTAAAGCGTGCTCAGTAAAATTCCCGCAACTATATACTCTATTTAACCATGAAATCCCTACAGGGTATAAATGTAAACATGCAGGATTAAACACATTTATCGTTTTCCTTTTTCACATAGAAGAAATTGTCCTTCAAAATTCTAGATAAGACAGCCTCAGAGTGCACTTCAAAAAGTTTTTTCAAACATTGAATAGTTTAATCACTAAGTATTTAAAGTGATACTCAGTAAAATTCCCGCACTATATACTCAATTTGGCCATGGAGTCCCTACGGGGTATAAATGTAAACATGCATGATTAAACACATTAATCTTCAAAACAAACACAGGTGTGCTGAACACATGGGATTTGAGTGTGTTGGAGACCAAACAAGTGATCATATAACAATAATTTAAGAGTGAGAGAAGATGAATATAAAGAAGGAACGCATCTTTTTTATAGCTTACATCTTAGCCATGCACAACTCATGTCACCTTTATATTCAAAAATAGTTAATCAAACACCTAAGAAGAAACAAAACATAAGAAGCATCTAGAAAGGAAGAATACGAAGAAAGGAAGATGCAAAAAATTACTTACTTTTGTTGTTGTACTTTCCCCACTGCGGTTCATTTGATCCAAAACCATTTACTTTTGCTCCCTTTGACCAATATTTTCTTCTAAACCATGCTGTGTCATCATTTGATGAAAAACTATGTGGATCATCTTCGTCCTTCCAGCTCTGAAAACAAGAGGAAAAAGGTTTGCCAAGCGGCTTCAGGAAAATATTTTGACACACATGCATGATAATTTAAATAATTAATACGAATCCTTCTTCACTGATACTGTCACTTGTAGGGTGTAAATGTGGATGGAATTTCATATCATATGCTAGAATTTGATTGTCAGGTTAGAGCTAGTTTGTTGTAAGGCCTAATAGCAGCTGTAGACGAATGATTCAGCATTATATGGATAAAAGTATTAAAATACATTTCCATATGTGGTAAGCTAATATCGTGTGTATGCATATACAAAATATATTAAAATGGGAATGGATTCCTAGCCTCCAAGGTTTAGCTCTCCATGGTAATACAAGAATGTCAAGAAATTAGAAGGTTCAAAAGGATTAAAGAAAATAACTTCAAGAAAGAATCACATTCATAATAATAAATATATTTATAGGACGTTGCCCAACAACAGCAATGTTGGCGTCAAATACGCTACTAGTGCCGAACAAAGAAAAACTGAAGAAAGTACAACTTTATCAAGCTTTAAAAAAGAGTCCAAAGAGTAAAGATAATAACACAGGGGCTAGGAGAAAAAACTTAATAAAATAAAATGAGAACCAAATACAGACAGCCAATGAGCTTAAAAACAACTGAAGTATAAGCTTTATGCAAACCTGAAATAGATATTCCGCATAGTCAGACATATTGCGCAACAATGCTCTTTTCGATTCTATCCTACTCATCCTTTTTGCATAATAATTGAACCTCTGCAGGTAACATTTACTCATAGCATAAGTCCAAAGAACTGTTTTCTACTATGGAATAACAAGACATGTAAAGTTCACAAAACTTGAGTGAGAATACTGAATCTTGTGCTGATAATACTCCTTTGTCCTTGGATATATAATAATAATAATAGTAATAATGCAATATTTTTAAACAAAACCCTACAGCCAAACATGGAGGTTGCTTGGACTTTAAACCAAGGATTTATCACAACCCTTTATGAATGATTTTTTGAGTAGTGACAAGAAATATATGGTTTGAAGAAGAACAGTTCCGAAACAACTACACAGTAGCACTACCAATTGTTTTGAAGCTCATCATAAAACAGTCATTTTGTGATTCAACAATGAGAGTTGAATATTACCATAAGAGTTGAATAAATTTTAATAAGTCATTGAAACATCTAGTACCAAAGTGGTATGCCATATCAAAGGAACCCACAACATTGCTCTACTAAGCACTTAACTTCATATCTCTAGCAACATATCACATAGTCACAAAAGATCTGCTTTTAGTGCATGTTCATAACAACTATCTACATTTCCAGAACCCAACTCTGTATTCCAGAATAGAGTTAGCACCACGTCCATAAAAGAGACTGATTAGCAATGTCATCACAACTATAAAAGTCCATCATGAACCTAATTACATTACAGACTAGAGTTAGCACCATTTCCATAAAAGAGACCAATTAGCAATGTCATTGCATTTATCAAATCCATCATGTATTGTCCAGGAGATCTCCTAGTCTCCCTCATCAAGCATAACAGTCAGTATCAAAGGAAATTGGTATTTCTAATGAGAAGTAAAATGTTTCCATATGCTTGTCTTTAGACTTGCATCTTATAAAATTGATGCGAACACTAAATGGGTGAATTTACATTGCCAAATCTACTTTTCCCAATTCATATACACCTCCATCTAAAAGATTCCAGTGTGTTCTGCGTTAACTTTCCTTCTTCCAGGAGAATATGAGTTCAATGCTCACTGCTCAATTGCTCTATAGATTCATTGTGCATGAATTCAGTACTATAACCAACCATTTCAAATTTTAAGTTGATAGCTGAATACAGTATAATTCTTAGTAGTCTTGGCCAAAGCATTAATCATGGTGATCGCCAAGATGAATGCATCATCTATAGCACATGTGCCAGATATTTCTCCCTATGTGCAATAAATTTCATATATGAATGGAAGTATCTTTGTTAACTTCAGTTGTATTCTAGTTGAAAATAAAATCATATCAATTTAGCAGACAGAAAGAGAATCATCTTCTAGTTACTCTCTCATATTGCAAACCTCAAATTAGAGAGACAGAAAGGTCTAAATGGTGAAAATAGTTTTCTTCTTTCAACAATAAAAGGGGAAAAAGAATTAGGAGATGCTACCTTTGTTTTATGTGAACCCCCTCCCTGCAAAGCAGAAGAAGGTTTTAGTATGGATCCAATTCTTCAGAACAATAAACTCTGAAATGCTAGCAGTTCCAGATATGAATTGAACTTAAAAAATGATTTCCGGAGGCATACAGATAAAGATAAAAACATAAAACAGGATATACTTGCTAAAGGATGACAGCTGAACCTGTAGTTTGATTGTAGATATACGCGTGTACATAAGTTATATCACATTGCTTGATATCCTTAGAACAAATTTCATTTTCATGTAACGCAGAAAGAAAAGAGATGACTGATTAGGGTAAAAAATTAAAAAAAATCATAATTGCCATCTGCATTATCCACCATGCTACTTATGTTCATATTGATCTCTGTGCTAGTAGGGATCACCAGCCATACCATCAAAGAAGCAATATCCACCAATATAAGTTCAAACACTATTTACTTAAAAGAATTTGACCTAGATATGCCGACTTGATAAGGCTGTGGTGTATATTTTTCAGATTTTGGTCGATTCTGCTGATTTCTGAGATTTTTATCATGGGTTTTCATCCTGTATACATCATTAGTCAATTCTGATTTCAGTCAAACTAGGGATAGTGGATGCCACTCAAAAGATAGCACAAATATGGACTGCTAAAGTTACAAAAGATGCAGTTATTATTAAACTTTCCTCATTATTATGACGATTTTAATTCCTCAGCAACTATGATATTACATTGGCTGATTGAAAAAAAAAAACTAAACTAAACTTTCAAACTTCTTCCTCTATTTTCAATCCCTTAGTCAGTTTCAAGTTTTCAAGCCATTTTCTTATGGTTGCATTCTTCCTCGAAAATTTCTACGCTACCACTTTCAATAGTTCCTATTTGAAAAATAAAATAAAATCACACATTTCAATTACATGCTACGAAATTTATTCCAAATGATCCATTTTACCTATAAAAGTTTCCAATAGAGAACAAAAGATCACACATTCCTACAAAAATTACGAACTTTATGTCAACTAAATAGAAAAAAATTGGGGGAGAAAAAGAGAGGAAGAAACTTACATAATTGTAATGGCTTCTCCTTTTCCTTTCTAATACCGGAGTAGAATGAAAGAGAGAGATCGATCTCAAATTACAAGGAGAAAATTGAGGAATAGAATTCGAATATTTTACTGCGTGATTCATCATTTCATTTTTCTACAGATATTTTAATGATGACTTTTGGTGGGGGGGGGAATAGGAAAAAGGAAGAAAAGAATTTGATGGTTTTTTGCTGGTTCTCTTGGTGCGGTTCGATGAGAGAACGAGAGAAACCCTCGGTGGGTGACGGGTCGGATCCAATGATGCCCACTTAATGCTCCATTATAAATGGGTAACCAGGCCCGATAAATCGTAGCCCGATCCAAATGCAATCCGAAATTTCGGATTGGATCCTCGAACGCTCATATCGGAAATGGTAAAGACTAGAGTGTAAATAAATGGTTTGTTATGTATCCATAAAATTGCCAGGCAATAATAAATTTTAGATTTGTTTGCCCTTGCTAAAGCTCCTGACTTTATCTTGTGAAGAAATACGATCTCATATAGGCCAATAAAATAGTTTTTTTTTTAATTTATTTTTTTATATAACGCTGCTTAAATTTATTTCTATCACGGGGATAAGTTGTCCAAAAAAAAAAAAAAAAAAAAAAACATTTTGCGGATGTAACAAAAACATCTGGATTGAAGAAGTTGCACTAGTGACCAAAGCAGTAGTTAAAATACAAATTTTGAGCTAACAGCAGCATGTAATAACCTTCGTCCACACTACAGAAATATCCGAATCCAGTTTCCCTTCATCCATCTTGCAAAATAAATGCAGTTTGACTTCGCAAATAACTGCAAATTCAAAGAGCGATTTCACCTACACAAACACCAAGGTAATAGTTTTCCGCCATGTTCTTTTCCAAACAACACAACTTTACTACCCATAAAAAAAAAAGAGGAAACCACACAACTTTCATAACCTGGCGCACTTCAAGACAAGCATAGAGTTAGAAATTAACCAAATAATTAACAAATGGTTTAACAATTGTTCGAGTAATTATTCGGTCATATTTGATTCGGTAGTTCATTTACAACTAAACATTAATTTGTTTGTTTATCACATATTCGTTTAAAATTTAATCACTTATCATTTGTACTATTACACATGATACCATATTTTTAACCTACTTAACATTTCTACTTAAGTTTTATGTATTGGTTTTAAGACTTAAATTTATTTTCTAATAAAAATTTTGATTTAAATATATATATATATATATACATCATATATTATATCATATATATTATAAAGGAATAATTTTTATTTATGAATTTAAATACTATTTAAAAATTAAATTCTTCAACATAATAAATATACATTGATATTCGTTAAGTATTCGTGAACATTTGTCAAACACCAAGTGTTCAAGTTCGAATCTTAAAAACTCCATATATGAATATTAAAATTCACATTTGAATTCGATAAGTTTAAACAAATACAAATACGCACACCTTAATGTTTGATTCAATCGTTTACCACCCCTTAAGCATCATTGAGAAAACAAAGAAAAGATGCAGGACCTTTACACATCACGTGGCATCGATTCAATCATCATCTTGGCAAACTCCATGCAGGTGACTACCATACCATTGATAACAGTCAACCACCACGAAATCTAATTTGTCACGAACAAAAAGGAATAGCATTTTACTTACCATTATACTAAAGATAATAATAATAATAACAGACACGTGAATCAGAGTTGTTTTTCAGACGCACATTTCCGCTCTACAAATGCTGTAACAAGTGTTTCCTCTTCTCTGCACAAAAATTCAAATGATCTCGCTGCCTAACGTACAAC